AGCAGAACCAGCAGGGGCTGTCCTGGACCCACCCCGCTGGGTTTTAAGGACCCCCCAGGATTTTGGGGTCCCCCTGGGGATTTAAGAGATCCCCCAAAGGATTTGGGGACCCCCCCAAGGATTTGGGGTCCCCCCCAGAATTTGAGACCCCCCCCTCAATTAAAAGGAGGATGATGAAGTGGAACCAGCAGGGGCTGTCCTGGACCCACCCCCCTGGGTTTTAGGGACCCCCCAGGATTTTGGGGACATTCCCCAAGGATTTGGGGTCCCCCCCGGGATTTAAGGGATGCCCCCCAAGGATTTGGGGTCCCCCCACAATTTGGGACCCCCCTCAAATAAGAGAAGGATAAAGCAGAACCAGCGGGGGCTGTCCTGGACCCCCCTGGGTTTTAGGGACCCCCCAGGATTTTGGGGACATTCCCCAAGGATTTGGGGTATTTGGGGTGCCCCCCGGGATTTTGGGGACCCCCAGACTCACGGGCAGGCGGAAGATGCGGATGAAGTAGGAGCGCCGGGGGCTGTCCCGGACCAGGCAGGCGACGCCGCAGCCCCGGAGGCTCCAGGAGCCCCCCGAGACCCCCCCGGGACCCCCCGGGAGCCCCCCGGGGACCCCCCCGGGCTCGGCCACCACCAGCTGCACCACGGCGGTCACCAGGGTCTGCGGGGACACACGGCACCCCAAAATCCAGCCCGGGGACCCCAAAATCCAGACCAGGGACCCCAAAATGGCCCCAGAGACCCCAAAATCCAGCCCAGAAAACCAAAACTCAAACCACCCCCACCCAAAATCCAGCCCGGGGACCCCAAAATCCAGACCAGGGACCCGAAAATGGCCCCAGAGACCCCAAAGTCCAGCCCAAGGACCCCAAAATCCAGCCCAGAAAACCAAAACTCAAACCACCCCCACCCAAAATCCAGCCCAAAGACCCCAAAATCCAGCCCGGGGACCCCAAAATCCAGACCAGGGACCCCAAGATCCAACCCAGAGACCCCAAAATCCAGCCCAGAAAACCAAAACTCAAACCACCCCCACCCAAAATCCAGCCCAAAGACCCCAAAATCCAGCCCGGGGACCCCAAAATCCAGACCAGGGACCCCAAAATGGCCCCAGAGACCCCAAAATCCAGCCCAGAAAACCAAAACTCAAACCACCCCCACCCAAAATCCAGCCCAAAGACCCCAAAATCCAGCCCGGGGACCCCAAAATCCAGACCAGGGACCCCAAAAGCTGGGAGGGACTGGGGGGGCTGGGAAGAGAACTGGGAGGAACTGGGGGAACTGGGAGGGGATTGGGAAGGGGAACTGGGGGAACTGGGAGGGACTGGGAGGGGAACTGGGGGACCCTTAAGCAGAGATGGGAGCAAACTGGGAACACTGGGAAAATCCCAGTCCTGGTCCCGCCCCTGCCCACACCCTCCCAGTTCATACTGGAAACTCCCCAGTTCATACTGGGAACGGGAAATGCCTTCTCAATCCATACTGGGAGCTCCCAGTCCATACTGGGATTACTCAACCACTTCCCAGTCCATACTGGGAACCCCAAATTCTCTCCCAAGTCCATACTGGGAGCCCCAAACCCCAGTTCATACTGGGAACTTCCAACTCCCTCCCAGTCCATACTGGGAACCCCAAATTCCCTCCCAGGTCACATACTGGGAGCCCCAAACCCCAGTTCATACTGGGAACTTCCAACTCCCTCCCAGTCCATACTGGGAACCCCAAATTCTCTCCCAAGTCCATACTGGGAGCCCCAAACCCCAGTTCATACTGGGAACTTCCAACTCCCTCCCAGTCCATACTGGGAACCCCAAATTCTCTCCCAAGTCCATACTGGGAGCCCCAAACCCCAGTTCATACTGGGAACTTCCAACTCCCTCCCAGTCCATACTGGGAACCCCAAATTCTCTCCCAGGTCCATACTGGGAGCCCCCAGCCCCTCCCAGTCCCTCCCAGTCCATACTGGGAGCCACACCAGTAACAGGCATCGTTTATTGGCGATTCCGGCACCTCTGGGACCCCCCCGGGACCCCCCCCGGGCTGGGGGGGGGGGGCAATTAAATAAGGGGGGGAG